GTGTGTGTGTGTGTGTGTGTGTGTGTGTGTGTGTGTGTGTGTGTGTGCCTCCCTGCTGCTGTTTCTTCATCTCTCCCCACCTCGAGCCTCACTGATGCTGAGGACAAACTTGAGGTAACAAACAAAGGTAACAAATGTTTTATGTCTTGACTATTGGGACTCGTAACTTACACTGACTCAACATCCTGGGAAATATAATATGTTTAATGCTCCGTAATATCATTCGGCGTGGAGATATTTAAATGTACGGATCATTGAACAGAAAACTGCAATGGGTATGCTTTCATGCTCCACTCCTATGAAATAGTCTCATTACTGTCTCATTTATATATTTCGTGCGTTGCAGTCATGCAGCAGCATTGATGACCACCTTAGTGGGGGTCAGCATCCGCTCCTCCTTGCTGTAGGGCAACGAACAGGACTGACATTCACAGAATCCTTGTGGACAAACAGCTCAGCTCCCTAGCTGCATTCAATGAACAGTATGATCCCACTTCATGTTCAACCTGTCTTATGAAGAGGCCCTGGCCCAGATATATGTACATCTTTGTGCAGACGTGCGTTGATAACATCAACATTGGAACAACTTAGACCCCTGGAAATTGTGAACTGCAGGCAAAACAGAACGTAAGGGATGTGAATTCCATGATACTTTGATTTTCATTTGTCAGGCCTTGAATATGTCACTGGTATCTCCATTTTTTTTTATGTGTAGTTTCTATCACAGCTCAAGGTTAAAGCTTATCTGGGCACAAGTTGTTCAATTTTCTCTGGTTTCAAAACAAAGAAATGTTACGTGCAGGATGTTTAAGTGTTGCACATGCAGGCCTCACTGTCAACTCATTTAAAGGTCCAGTGCGTATGATTTGGGAGCATCTAGCTGTGAGGTTGCACATTGCAACCAACTGAATACCCCTTCACTCACCCCTCCCTTCCCAAGACTAGGGACTAGGTCCTTCCCCCCCGCCTTCTTTTGAAACTAAGGTTTTAAACTCTGTGACTCGCGTTACCACAGTTTTGGAAGTGTGTCGCCTTTTCGAAAGCCTTTGCGTTTCATGGTGGTCCAGCATGGCTGACCTTGTGAAGAGGACCTGCTGCCTATGTAGATATAAACGGCTCACTCTAAGCTAACGAAAGCACAATGATTCTTAGTTTCAGGTGATTACGTACCGAATGAAAACTTTATATAACATTTCTGCCAATAGATCCCCCGATATCCTGCACACTGGCCCTTTAAGAGTGTATACAAATTTCTATCCCTGATTAAGGTTCAGGCATATTTGTGCACATGGCTGACAGCTTTCAATTCTTTCTGGTTCAACAGGCCGGAACATCTCAGATTCAAATCCTAAATCAGTCAAATAGTGAACAGTTTAGCATCATAGATGTTGTGCCAGATTCTAAGTGCAGTGAATCATTTAAGTGCACACATTAAACAAGAATACACACTTCCACAAAACTACAATATATACAGATTATGTGACCTTATGTCCTCCTCTAATAGGAGTTGGACCTGGAACACCTGGTGATGAAATGATTGGCTATAGGTTGAAAAACGTGATGCTGAAGCTTGATGACTATTACACACTGGTTCCTGTGCCGAATGTAGAAACTCTATTTGCTCGACTTCCAAATCTAAATCCAAATACTTTATCCACCATTGCCCAAATTGAAGATCAGTTGCTTTGGTCTTGGGCAGTAGCAATATATTTACTGACAGTGGTCCAACTTCATAGACCAGTTGTGCTAACCATTATACTACAACCAGTCACAACCAACCTTAAACTGCCTCCAATCATCAGCGTGATGAGTATGATTTTACAGGCAGCGAGAGGAGATGTTCACAGTGCATTTGCAGCCATGCCAGGCAGCTGAAGACATGAAAGATTTCACTGACTGTGCTCGCCGACTTGGTGAAATTTTGGAGCCCATTGACAGTTTAATGAATACTTACTCCGCTGGAAATGTGCCACACAGCAGCTTATTTTAGTCCTGAAGCAAAGTGAAACTGCTGTGCGGCCATTGTTCTCCTCCTAACCAAACATTTTAGGAACACAGTTAGAATTTCTGCCTTAGAAACCCAGCGTGTATGTCGAGCAGTTTGCTTTTCTCTGAGGCAACACTGTTCTCTCTGGGGATTCTCGCACTGCAGAGACAGAGAAGCTTTCAAAAGCCTCCCGAAAAATTACATCTGTCCAAACCAATCACCGAACGCAAAAGACTACTTCCACAAAAAGACTTGTGCAGGATGATGAAAGCACTCGTGGTTCTTCAGCAGCGGGGCTTGTCTGTCTGTTCCGTCGCCCCGTACAGACATCTGGAAATTCATGGACTGTGATCCTGCACGACACAACGCAGGAAGCGAGACTGGTGATTGACAGTGGTTTGTTTTGGTGCTATTTTAAGGGTCGATTCAACCAAAATACAAAACATATTTTCTCATTTACCTCAAATGGTATGAAGCCAAGCAAATAGTTTTAGCTTTTAGAGACAGTGTTACATTTGCAGATGCAGTTTTGTTTTCATTTAAACTACTTTCTACTGAAGAAATAGTCGCGATGAAAACTGTCTCTCTGTCCGTCTGAGTAATAGGGACGCCGTTCCTGGAAAGAAATGATGCTGTTGAATTTAACAAATTTAATTCTGTATTATTATACCCAAGTTAAACTTCAAAACTCATCGACTTATTTATGATAAAGACAGTTGTACGTTCCTTCATTTAATGTAGAAATGTTCTTTTGTCTCAACACAAGTTGTCAAAAGTATTAGTGAGTGTGTTGGCACAAACCGCTGCCAAAATCTTCACAGCCGTGTTTATTAAAAGACAGATCTCCTCCTAATAATTTGGACTTATGTTGACACACTTTGTTGGCCCATGCAAAGATTATTCTCCATCATTGGAAGGGTCAGACAAAACCTGATTTTGCTGAATGGTTAAAATGAATGACCAACATTTCCTCTCTCAATCCCTGATTGCAAGTGTAGTGAGGAACGCTCCTCGGAGAAGGAAGTGTAGTGTTGTGAACGCAGCCCTCAGGCTAGGCTCCTCCCCCCAATCAGTGCCAGCATTTAAAAGGCACCTGTGGTGTGGCTTCACTCTGTTTTGGCCCTGTCCTGGTGCTGTGGTGGCTTTCAGACATAGTCCTCCTTTTGTTGCTGTCTGACTATTTACCCCGTGTTTGAGGTGGTAAGTAGTCACAATCTTAACTTGTATTATTTTGCAGCATGGTGCAAGCCTGTTTTGTTTGCTCGTTTTGCCTCCATGTTGCTTGTTCTGCTTCTGTTTTGGCTGTTTTTCCTTTTGTTCCGCATGTTTTGGCTGTTTTGATGATTTTCATTGATTCCTTTAAGTTCATTTTTATGAAACGCGTCTCTGTCCAAATATCGCAAATTAATCTGTGTACCCTTAACAAATTCTACACCATATATTAAGGTCGTTAAGTTTATATTTCCCGGGGTGTAATTCCCCATGTGGCGTTGTTTGTTCCCCGTTTCTCTGATCTTACCAAAACCTTTTTTTTTTTTTTAAATGGTTGGCTGTAGTTTGCATAAACTAGTGGTACTTGCCCAGATTTATTCTGTTATCTGTTCTTCAAGGGTTTATTGTTAGTTGTATTATGGTCTTTGTGTATTGAAAATTTGGTCAACTTAAATCACAGGTGAATTTTACTCGCCTCTATTGTATCGGCGTAGAGGCGAAAATCTCAAAACCTGGACATTACATTAGTCATTTAGCAGACGCTTTTATCCAAAGCGACTTACAATAAGGACAAAGAGAACCAAACATATTTGCACGAATAGATATTACTAAAGCAATGTTACGGCCCAAATCACATTTTGCGTTAACTTTGAAGTTACCAAGAAATAGGAAACAGTCTTGTTGGAGACAGCGATGGAGGACTTTATGCAGGCTAAGCTTGTCTTCACTTATTGCTGAACCTTCTGCTCTTAAGAAGAATAAATTAGTGAAGAGCTGCAGTGTTTACTGAGGTCAAATTACAGGGTTTCTGTTTGATGAAGCCCATAACAATTAAAACACAAACTACTCGGTAAACTCTTTTTAGATCCAAGTGAATTAAACATTTACAAAGAAGATCGGAAACATTGCACGACACATTTCAGTACGATATATTCCTTAAAGGATAACTGTCATTTTAAAAAGCAGCAGTAACTTGGCTTCTGCACTCTCTGATAGCATTACAAAGGATTTCAGACTCCCTGGTTTGCAGTAATGACCTCCGATGGCTCCCTCGCCACATAGGAAGCCTTCCCCAGCATCTGGCCCACTTGCTCCCCCCCCCCCCCTTGCGAGAGTGAGCATGTCGGGGGGGCAGACGAGTGTGCCTCCCTCCGGGCCCGGATGATGAGACAGTGCATTTACATTAGCCTAGTGAAGCAGGAGCAGTGGCGTGCTGCCAGCTCTGAAGCACAGAGCATGCAGCCAGAGCATCTGGTGAGTTTGTGCTAACGTCGGCCCGGTCTGCCTTCAGACTCACCGACGACACGCAGACAAACTGGCACACAGTCAGATCATAAAGTCAGATAAACAGTCGTATTCAGGAAGTTAATTAGCCTTTACTCATACAGCCAATCAGTTTGTCAGCCAAAGAGGGAGGCAGACTTCTGGCCTCCACCGTAGTCTGTTATAACCAGGGAATGGAGTTGGAGGATGGGACGACTTTATTTACGGGAGTCTGGCCTGCAATTCCTTGGCTTGGATGGTGAGGAGACCAGGTTGTGTTGTTCACAGGGAAATCAAGGTGGAGAGAAAGTCACTCGGTGGTGAAAGTACCTTGGATACAAACTAAAATCTGCCTCCCTGCCACCGACCACCAAGAGAAGAATTTCTCGGATTTCAGCATGACTTTCAATAAAGATTCAAATGGAAGGGGCTGGTGGGGACATTAGAGCGGCACTTTGCGAGAGGCACTTAGGTACACTTAATGTGAATTTCCATTAGTTGGAATGGCGGATGGACACGTTAATGGCAGAGAGCACTGCAACATTTTTGGAAGGCTTGCATTATACCTAGATTTGCAATAGCAGAGAGGGGGAATAATGCAGTTCTTTACCTGAATCGTTGTGCACTATAGCTGAAATAAGCAATAAAAGTAAAGCACCAATTAACATTTATTACACTGCAAAATGCAGAACAAGGCAAAACGGAAAAGGATTGCGGATAATGTATAGCAGCGACTTGTAAGCCCTCATCACAGTTTAGGGCTTTTCTTTAGATTTGTTTGTTGCTAAATGGATACACAACATGTAACAGTGCAGATACTACAGCGTTCATAATCCAATTTGTACTCAGCAACATCCATCTCAAATACAGTCAATAGAAAAACATATACAGAACAATCCAAAACACAAGCAATGTTACAGTAAATATATATTATGAGCTTCTTGACAACATGGTAAGATCTTATCAGCTTCCTGTCCAAAACTGTTAACTGCATGATCATTTTAAAGACTACTTCAGTGATTCTGCAAGTTTAGTTTAATCATCATGGTTTAATTAGCTTGTGAAAACGGTTGCATCATGTCTTATGTGGCTCTGGAGGAGCTTTTCAGAGTGCATTTGTGTTCCAAACAAGTGTCCCTTTAGGATGAAAAATGGGGTCTAACAAATAGTTGTTTTGAGTTCCATCATGGGGAATGTCGGAGGCAGATTTTTTTTTTTTTTTTTAGCTTTTAGCGCTTGACCATTACTAAGAGCAAAACGTCAGGATATTCTGTCATTTGCTGTTTTATCTTTCTCGTGTGGGTCTCCCAACTTTATGGATGCTAAATACTAAAATTAGTGAAAGAGCTGTTTAAGAGGTTTGATTACTGTAGAAACTGCTTGTGGCCAAGAAGTTGCAAAATATCAATGTTAAAAGTTATATAAAACTGTGCTCTGCAGCAGAGAATGAAAAAACAATCTCGATAGCTTTGGCAGCCTTGCTCGCCATTTCAACATTTTTCTCTAATTTTAGATGAATCTAACAATATACATGGATATTTAACTTGTAAAAACATTAACAATTACTCTGAAGGCTGACCACCGTATTTAAAGTATATTCATATTGACATATTGATTGCAAGCGCTGCATGGAAATTGAGGACATAATTCCAACACTATATAAAACACTATCACCTGCATGCTTAAACTTTATTTTAATAACGATAGTTTGGAGCCCGAAAAAGCCCGTAGAAGATTTATGGGTCGACATTTATCAAGAGGGTCAACGTTTTATGGAGAGAAATGAACTGAAAACAGTTCAGATATGACAAAAATACCACTTGTTGTGAAATCAGCTGTTCCCAGGGCAGCCAACATTTTCTAATCCTATTAACAGATTAAAGCGTTTAATGTTTTTTCATGGAGTTGAGAATTGCTTTCTGAAAAAAATGTTTCAAACTATTTTAAAACGATCTGCGCCTTTTTATCAGCTAAACAGATTAATTAGTCGACCTCTGACCCTTAGTGACCTAAACTTGAAGGTACTATGGGTACTTCTCAAGTCTAATTGCATCCCCGTTTCCCTCACTTGCGTCCTTTCCTTGCGTCTTAGTCCCTCCCACCAGGGATGCATGGAGGAAACCATGCATGGAGAGAGGAACTAGGAAATGTGTTTTAAGATACATGAGACGTCCTTTCCTCAGTTGCGTCACGTGAAGCGACGTCTGTTTCTGATGACGGAGGGTCAGCTGATCACAGCTGGATCAGCTATCAATCGGCTTTAACAGATGGAGAGACTTTTGATAAGTTTGTCTGTTCACATGATCACTGTAGGCCTACTTAATAATAGTAACTAATAAGACGCACAGTAATCACCACTGTAGAGGTGTTTCTCTCTGTAGTCTGTTAACAAACTGTGTCCTGTGTTCTGTTTAAGCACAGGATCGATGTCTACCGCCGGAATGCGATCGTCTTATTTATGAATTATGTGCGTCTGTACGTTTTTAAATTGTGACTGTTTATTAAATAACCCAGAATATGATTATTGTTTCTCTTAAATTATAAAACTCATCAAACACTCAGGAATGATGTAAAAAGTGTTTCGCCTCTCCAGCTCTCTCTGACTTTAATTGTTTCCATAATAAAAGTTATTGAGGGAAAAATCAGATCATGAAAACACAAATCTTTCTAATAAATGAAGAAAGTTGTTTGTGGTCGTTTTTGGTTTTTTTTGTTCAGACTACAATGAACATTTATTTAAACCAGACGGTGAATCGGAAACCTAATCAAATATAAACTCGAGTTTATTCTGTGATCCGTCTTCACTCTGGTGTTAAACTCCAGTTAGTCAGATCGGCTGCAGCGTCCAAATACCGTTAAAAATACTTCCTGGAAGTCTGCTCTCGTGGTTCCTCGCTCATGGCTCCTCCAAGGTCCCTCCTCGATCCTCCGAGCTACATTAGAGCTTTGGGACGGCCGTCAATATGGCGGCGCAGAAACAACTTCCGGTTCAAGCGAGGATCGAGGGACTTGAGAAGTACCCTATGTGAAAATGGAAAAATGACAGCTCCCTTCTATTAGCAGTTGTTACATTGTTTAAGCTGCAATTAGTTTATATTTTTGGGTTCAACCTAACCATCATCTATGAACGTGGTTTAGCTACACAAAATCTGTACTTTGACATCACGGGAGAGACTAAATGATTCTTCAAAGACGCATGTTATAATAAATACACAACTTTTACTTTAACTACAGACTTACTTACTTTATTTTAATCAGGTAGAAGCTTACAGCAATGAAAGAGTAACATCAAGCAAATGTTATAAATGCAATCAATACAGAATTATGTTTTTCTGTGATCACTTAAACATTACTGATAATGATTGTGAGGAATCATTAACAGTAATCTGTGAACATAGACAGTCTCCTCAAACATGAAGCCTATTAATGCACAATATGTATTATGTAAAAGTAAACTGAGCCAATTTATTATTCAGAAAGATTGCATCAAAAACGTAGCCCTCCATATTACGCCCTACCCCTCGGCTAGCTCCCAGTGATGTTTATAAAGTAATTATATATCAACTTGAAGAGGGATTTGTGTGCACAGTAGATAAGTACAGAGTCAAATGGAAACAACTTTGAAAGCAATTTTTCAAAGTCCACGATTCCCTGCATAGAAGTGGCAGCTCTCAAGACAAAGAAGATAAAATGTGCTCCTTTCTACACACCCCTCAGCAAATTCA